ATGATGTTTGTCTCATAGAAAGAGTTAGGCAGGATACTCTCTTTTTGTATTGTTTGGAATAGTTTCAATGGGAATGGTACCAGCTCCTCTTTGTATGTCTGGTAGAATTCAGCTGTGAACCCATCTGGACCTGGACGTTTTTTGGTGGGTAGGCTATTAATTGCTGCCTCAACTTCAGCCCTTGTTATTGGTCTATTTAGGGTTTCAACTTCTTCTTGGCTTAGTCTTGGGAGTGTGTAAGTGTCCAGGAATTTATCCATTCCTTCCAGATTTACTGGTTTATGTGCATAGAGTTGTTTGTAGTAATCTCTGATGGTAGTTTGTATTTCCGAGGAATTGGTTTTGATCTCCCCCTTTATCATTTTTTATTGCATCTATTTGAGTCTTCTCTTTTTTATTAGTCTAGCTAGCGGTCCGTCTATTTTGTTGATCTTTTCAAAAAACCAGCTCCTGGATTTATTGATTTTTTGAAGGGTTTTTTGTGTCTCTATCTCCATCAGTTCTGCTCTGATCTTAGTTATTTCTTGTCTTCTGCTAGCTTTTTAGTTTTTTTTATCTTGCTCCTCTAGTTTTTTCAATTTTGATGACAGGGTGTCAATTGTATATCCTTCCTTGTTTCTCCTGTGGGCATTTATCGCTATAAATTTCCCTCTAGACACTGCTTTAATTGTGTCCCATAGGATCTGGTACATTATGTCTTCATTCTCGTTGGTTTCAAAGAATATTTTTATTTCTGCCTTCATTTCATTGTTTATCCATTAGTCATTCAGGAGCAAGTTGTTCAGTTTCCATGTGATTGTGCGGTATTGAGTGCTTTTCTTAATCCTGAGTTCTAATTTGATTGTGCTGTGGTCTGAGAGACTATTTTTTGTGATTTCCGTTCTTTTGCACTTACTGAGGAGTGATTTTACTTCCAATTATGTGGTCAATTTTGGAGTAAGTGCAATGTGGTGCTGAGAAGAATATGTATTCTGTGGATTTGGGGTGGAATGTCCTGTAAATGTCTATTAGGTCCACTTGGTCCAAATCTGTGTTCAAGTCCTGGATATCCTTGTTGACTTTCTGTCTCATTGATCTGTCCAATAGTGTCAGTGTAGTGTTAAAGTCTCCCTCTGTTATTGTGCGGGAGTCTAAGTCTCTTTGTAGGTCTTTAAGAACTTGCTTTATGTATCTGCGTGCTCCTGCATTGGGTGCATAAGTATTTCGGATGGTTAGCTCTTCCTGTTGCATTGATCCTTTTACCATTATATAATGCCCTTCTTTGTCTCTTTTGATCTTTGTTGGTTTTAAAGTCCATTTTATCAGAGACTAAGATTGCTACCCCTGCTTTCCCCACACCGCCCCCCCACCCCCGCTCCATTTGCTTGGTAGATCTTCTTCCATCCCTTTGAGTCTATGTGAGTCTTTGCATGTGAGATAGGTTTCCTGAATACAGCACACCAATGGGTCTTGACTTTTTATCCAGTTTGCCAGTTTGTGTCTTTTGATTTGGGTGTTTAGGCCATTTACATTCAATGATAATGTTGTTATGGTTGAATTTGATCCTGCCATTTTGTTACTGGCTGGTTATTTTGCCCGTTAATTGACATGGCTCCTTGATTCCACTGTTATTCCTTACCATTTGGTACATTTTTGCAGTGGCTGGTACTGGTTGTTCCTTTTCCTCTTTAGGACTTCCTTCAGTAGCTCCTGTAAGTCAGGTCTTGTAGCAATGAAATCTCTCAGCAATTGCTTGTCCATAAAGGACTTTTTTTCTCCTTCACTTATGAAGCTTAGTTTGGCCGGATATGAAATTCTGGGTTGAAAGTTCTTTTCTTTAAGGGTGTTGAAAATTGGCACCCACTCCCTTCTAGCTTGCAGGGTTTCTGCTGAGAGATCTGCTCTGAGTGTGATGGTCTTTCCTTTGACTCAACCTTTCTCTCTGGCTGCCCTTAGGATTTCTTCCTTCACTTCAACCCTGGTGAATCTGACAACTATGTGCCTTGGGGTTGCTCTTCTTGAGGAATATCTTTGTAGTGTTCTCTGTATTTCCTGGATTTGAATGTTGGCCTGCCTTGTTAGGTTGGGAAAGTTCTCTTGGATAATATCTTGAAGAGCGTTTTCCAACTTGGATTCATTCTCCTCGTCACATTCAGGTACGCCGATCAAGCATAGATTAGGTCTTTTCACATAATCCCATAGTTCCTGGAGGCTTTGTTCTTTTCACCCTTTTTTCTCTAATCTTGCCTTCTCATTTTATTTCATTGATTTGATCTTCTACCTCTGATATCCTTTCTTCTGCTTGATCGATTCGGCTGTTGAAACTTGTGTATGCCTCACAAAGTTCTCGTGCTGTGTTTTTCAGCTCCATCAAGTCGTTTATGTTCCTCTCTAAGCTGGTTATTCTAGTTAGGATTTCATCTAACCTTTTTTCAAGGCTCTTAGTTTCTTTGCATTGGGTTAGAACATTGTCTTTTAATTCACAGAAGTTTGTTATTGCCCACCTTTGGAAGCCTTCTTCTGTCAATTTGTCAGATTCATTCTCTGTCTTTTTTTGTTCCCTTGATGGTGTGCTGTTGTGATCCCCGGGAGGAGAAGAAGTGTTCTGTTCTTTGGTGGTTTCAACCTTATTGCACTGGTTTTTTCCCATCTTCATGGATTTATCTCCCTTTAATCTTTGAAGTTGGTGATTTCAGGAGGAGTCTCTGAGGGTACTTTTTTTTGATTGAGGTTGGAGCTGTATCTTTTTTGGCCTGTAGAGGGCTTTGCTGGGCTCTCTCAGGTTCAGTCAGGTTGTTGGGTAGGTGGTCCTTCCCTGGACTTTCTTTGCAGGTGAGATTGGCCCCACCTTCCCAATATTATCTCTCCCAAAGTGGGATGGTCTGTCCCACTGGCATTAGTCCAAATTCCCACCCAGGTCCCTGTGACAACTTACCAAGCCCAGCGGTAGCCGCTGCTTAGATTTGTATTGACTACCCACAGCGCCTCACCATCTGGCAGGGCCCCTCATGGACCATGGGTTGCAGGAGGGATGAGGGAAGCACAGGATCCAAAACAGAGCTCCCAGGGGATTAAGCCTCCAGATCCTCCAAGCCGGCTGCACGTTTCACCCTGCCTTGATTTGCCCCCCTGGGTGGCTGTCACCCTGCAGCCCCTTCCCTAGGCCCAATTCCAGTGCCCTATCAGTCCCACAAAAAAGAACCTGGCACCTTGTTTGGAACCATGAAGTCCTCCAGCCCTCTGTGTCTCATTCACTGTGAGCTGCATTCCGGCGCTGGCTTCTCTTGGCCATCTTGGCACCCTCTCTCACTCTTCCTATTAATCAAAAGTTGACCAAATACATAACAATGTCTAACTCCTAGCTTAACAGCTTTCTCAGTGCCCTGGCATTTCATCTGTCTCCACCCAGAGATGTGAACTCATTTAAAAATGCCATTTTCAAAGTGTGGTCCCAGGACCAGGATCACCATCACATGGAAATCTGTTAGAAACACAAATGCTCAGGCCTCATCTCAGACCTACTGAATCACAACTTGGGGAGTGGAGACAACCAATCCTCCAGAAGACTCTAATGCTCAAGAAAGTTTCAAAACCACTAATTTGAAGTTTGAAGACCAACAGGTGTTCACTTTTCCCATAGAAATGGAGGCCCCTCATTCCTTCATTTACCTTGGAGCTGACTCAAGATCCCACCTCCCAGAGTAAGATGGGATCTGTGCCTCAGTATGCAAGTACAGAGGTTGCTTAGTGAGCCTCACAAATATGCTAGCAGAGAAAAACAGGGAGATGTGGCCAAGTCATTGGATGTAGGAGTAATCCATATTTAGATTCAATTCCAACAGTTTTATGAGCACCTGCTATGTGCATGCCTATGCTAAATAAAATTATATCTTGTTTAGATTTCCAATAACAAAGGAATTAATATGTATTAAGTATACAGGGGCTTAGTATTATAGCAAATAAACAGAAAGACTTCATAATTCTCCAACTGATGTTCATTCACACATCTGGACAGCATGCTGGGTATGCTAACGCACTTGTATATGAATGCTCCTTTTGCTTCTTTTTGACTAACTGCTCTCAAAGTTTATTGTATATCACAATTAGAATACTAGGTTGCTTAAACAAGACCACGTGTCTCAACTTTTAAACCAACATAAGAAAATTTGAGTTAATTCTACATTACCCAAGGCAAAGTTTATTTTATTCAAAGGTTTCAACTCTCAGGTGTATAGGTTCTGTAAGATGTACATCTATCATACTCATTTATTTGTGGCTTTGATTCTCCCTTAAATAACTCTGTCCTGCCATTTCCACTATAAAAACAATTCTTCCTGATTTAGACCATATAAATTTAGGGGTGGGGGTAGGAAGTTGAGTAGTTCTGCAATGCCCCACTATCTGTTAACCCTACACCATTTGCCCTAAACTAGATGTGGCACATGAATACTGTCTTCCTTCCATCCTGTGCCCATGGGCAGACACTGTTAATCAGTCAAGGCACTCTTACCAGAGCCTCAGCATTACTCTCAAGACCTCAGAATTCCTCTCAATCGCATTTCAGGCAGCTACTCAGAATCACTGGAAATATATATGACTAATAAGAGATATTTGTTTCACTAGCCAATCAACATGCCCCTTCCTTGTTTCCTTTACTGCTCCAGTTACATCTTTAAAGCCCTCCTTTGATTATTTTCAGAACAAAAACATTAAGCTTCAGTTAATCTGAGCTGCAGTCTTTGCAAATCTATGACACTTTGAGGCTCCTAATCATGGTGGATTGTGCAACAGTTTTAACAATTTGAATAGAGTTGTAACCCAGCATGTAATACAAAACTGCTCTGAAAATCAAAGAACCAAGTAAATAAAAGTACTAAAGAGATAAAACACCTGTGAAATAGTATTCTGTGCATATAACTGGGAAGTGTGCAGCCTCCAGGGAGGCTGCTGTAGAATACCAGGTTGATAAGCATGAAAACAAGGCTTGCGTAAATAATTCTGACTTTGCTTTTGGTACTCACTGATGATTCTTTATTCTGCTAAGGGGGCACCACACTGTTCCTTTAGCAGCATCTCCATGATTCTAATTCCCTATAGAAAGAAGAGAAAAAATTAAAATGCCCTATTTCACAGACAAGTACTTTTACATTTATCACAACCTTTTCCCTTCAAAGAATCCAGGTCATGGCCATATATTCATTTCAAAAAGGTAGGCTCACAGTCATACCTGACATTTTAATACTATTTTACTCAGCAATTTCACATACATTATCTCCGCATGAGCTCAGAACTACTCAGGGACGTAGGCAGAACAGAACTTAGGATCTCCATTCAAACATAAGAAAATAGCCCAAGAGTAGTTAAATCACTTCTTGAAAGTGGCCCTGCCAGAGCTGGAATGATAATGGCAATAGTTAATATCCACTGAACATTTACAGATGTGCTAGATTCACTGCTGGGGTTTTACACAAATTACCTGGGGGTAGTGAGTGCTGTGGTGTGCCACTGAGATCCCTCCCAGGACTAAAGCACTCCCCTTTCCACCAAGACTGTATGTAGGCTGCTTCTGGCACACAGCCACCCTCAGCCAAAGGGAGCTGCCTTACCTGAAGTCTTGTCCCTCCAGGGGCAGCCCACATCCAGTGACTGGTAAGTACAGGGGTATAAAGACCTGGCCTCCTTCCCTTAATTTGAGACAACTCTGAGAAGCATCCAACCCTCAAAGTTCTCCAAGGGATCAGCTAAGACCTTTGTGGCAAGTGCATCACAGTTCAAAAATCTCTTTCTATACCCCATGACATGAGTTGTTCCTGAGTGCACTCTCCAATACCCGCTGCAGGCAAATCTCAAACTGTATCTGTGTCCTAAGAGCTGACTTTGGACACCTTAATGCACATAAAACCTCCAAATGAGTACTATCCTTACCCCCATTTTACTGATGAGGAAACATAAACTTAGAGAGGTTTAAATAATTTGCCCAAAGTTATACAACTATTAAGTAATAAAGCCAGGAAAAGAGCACAGGCACCCTCTTCCTTTTCAAAGGCACCCATGAACCTTCTTGCAATGTTCATTCTGCTACTGTTCATACCCACCTGTCCACCCAGCATCTTGTCCAGGAAAATTCCACCTTAGAGGAAAGAAAAAAGCAGAAATTCCTTTCCTCCTTAAAGAACAAGTTCTACAGACGAGAGGATAAACCTTCAAATGGGAAGACAGAGTTATGATGTAATTATAAACTGGGGTATCCAGGACATCAAAGTTGGATCCAAGGGAAAGGAAGCTGCTATTTTCAGATACCTGAGCCTGAGAATTGTGGCAGATAATAATAATAAGGGGAACTTAAAATACAGGTCCCCAGGCCCCTCCCAGGAAGATTCTGACTTAATGGGACTCAAGCAAGCACCAGAACTCTATGCCCTTAACAGGCACCCATATGACTCTCTTATGATCAGGCAGGGCTGGGAATGCCAAGTGGACTTGCAGGAGAAAGGCAGGGACTTCTGACTTGGGGTCTAAGCCAAGGGATGGGGATGGAGGGTAATCAAAGACATCACTAAAGAAGACAATAAAATATATTTAACATCAAAGTAGATGAAACTAAAGTTAGTATTTCCTTCAGATTCTGCCTGGCCATCACCACAAATACTACCATTATCTTGGAAGGAAGAAGTATTACTGGATCTTGAGAGAGTGCTGAGTAATAAGGAATGTTTTTGCTAAATCAAAGCAGCAAACCATAGGGCCAGGAGCACCACTGACAGAGGTAGGAGACCTGAGTTCTTATCACAGCTCCACCAATCATTCTGCTGGGTGCCTTAGGCTGATCACTTTTACCAAGGAGTAACAGACCACAGAGGTCAGGGCACTGAGAGGCAGATGGGATTAGTGCTTTCTATACCCAGCTTCACACTGACATTACTAGGGGAAGTCACAAAAGAAAACAGACTTCCAAGAGTCTACCCAAGAGTGTGTTTGACTCAGTCACAAATTTAAAGCTCAGGCCCAAGTCTGTACATGTATAACATACCTCATGTTGATAAGGAAAGGCGGCAGGAAAATACCGGGTAGAAAAGGGCAGTCCCTGGTGAGGGCCACACCCTCATGCCTGGATCTGTGACCCAAAGTGAAAACATGCATTCCTGTTTTCCCACATGAATGCTGCTTTTTCCAAAACCACCCTGGCCCACTCTATTCCCCATCCCGTACCCATAAAAACCCCAGGCCCCACCAATAGAGTAGCAGTGACAGAGGAGAGAAGAGAAGAAGCATCTGGACATTGGAGAGAAGCAGCTTGACTTCAGAGGGATGACTTGATGGCAGGATCTCAGAGAAGAATTCAGCCAGGGACAGCCAAACTCCAGGAGAAGACCACCTTTCCACTCTATCCCCTGTCCAGCTCCCCACCTCACTGAGAGCCACTTTCACTGCTCAATAAAATCCTCCACATTCACTATCCTTCAATTCTTTCACACAACCTGATTCTTCCTGGATGCCAGACAAGGACCTGGGTGCACGTACAAGAGGCTATCACATTGACCCTTCCATTGAGCTGTTTAACACTTAAGCCATCCATGAATGACAAAGCTAAAATAGCACACTGTAACATGCACCCTCTGGGATTCTGAGGGTCACAGGCAACCTCTAGATGCTGCTGCAGGACCGCACAGAGTTCTGCTCCTGCTGGTTGCCCAGAAGCACTCGTCCTAGCCCTTGCACCTGCTCACCTGTGTGCTCCCCCTCATACAAGGAGTTGAGAGCTGTGAGTTGAGTAAGTGAGCCAATCCCTTCATAAGTCTTACAGAGGAGTCAGGGAACTATCACGTTTCAATGTGATTCTGAAACAAGCAGTTCATTTACAAGAATTTATAAACAGCAGCTTTACATCATCTCTGAGATCTCTTCCAATTCTGACAGTCTGGGAATTGATGAAATAGGTTCTCCTTTATCATTTCTGAAGATATAGTATATACTGCACTCTTAAGAGCCACCTGCCATTTAATGAATTAGGAGAAAGGGGGTTAGGGGCAAAGGATGAAGCAACCAGTGAAATGAAATTTAACTAAATTCTTAACAGAAAACCTGAATTATGTCCCTTTTTGTTCTTATTCCCTTAACAACAGATCCAGTTAACAAATATGTACTATGCACCTACTATGTGCACTGGAGATTAAATGGTGAATGAACAAGATAAAGTATCTGCCCTCATGGAGTTTACACTCTGATGGATTCCAGAAAATGTTCATTCCCTCGTTTCACTTTTTTATTCTAACAAATCTCTGGACAGAAATTAAATGTCTTTTCCCTATTTTCAGGAAGAATAAAACTATCACATTAATTCTCTTTCAAGCTTCTTTTTTGCAGAGTAGATGCATAAATCCAGACAGTATGACTTTAAACGAAGAAAAGCACACTCCTTCCCTAGGAGGTAAGAACCTACAAACTTTCCCATCCATCTGAATTAAGACCTCCACCACTTATTGAACTGAACACTAATTGACATAAGTGAAGATTGAAGTTTTCCTTGAGAATTGAAATATGTTATTTGTTGAATCAATTATGTTCACAGGGTGACAGTTGATTTTTCTTTCCCTTTTTCCCCCCTCTCTCATACCACTTTAGTCTTTTTAAGCAGAATGTTAGAAATGGAACGTGGAGAATGGGGGCAGGGAGAGAGACGCCTGTAAAGTAAATAAAAGAGAAAAAAACACCTAACAGGGAAGCTAAACCATGATTTAGTACCTCTCTTTGGTGAAGAAGGACCAAATCAAAGCCTAATCAATAGAGTCCTTTCAAATAAAGTTCCAAGGCTTAAATCTCAACTCCCAGGAGATCAGGCTTAAAGGGGCTAAATTTACACCACTTATCACACAATTATGCCTGAAATGCAGAACAAACATTAAGTGGATCTACCTTTATAGATAAGGCTTAAAAGCTTTTTAGACTGACAAACCATAAACCAGCTTGATTTTATTATTTCTTTCCCCACTGAGATTTTTTCTTCTCTATTACAAGGCTATCTTTCTCTATTTGCCAATGTACAGATAAGTGAGCTACCTTGCAGGCTCATTTCCCTAATACCAGAGCTGTGCTGGCCAAATGTATCCCCACAAAGGAGTTTCAGAGTCTTTCAGATTCAAAACACTTCGCAAATTCTCCACTCTAAGAGTCTGTGAGAAATAGATGATTATTACTAAAAACACAAAACTTGTCTTAGAGGAGCAGGAATAAGTTAAAACTAAAGGTGGCTAAATTCAAACAGTATATTTGTTTTTCTATAAAACTGATCCTTCCTTGAGAAGCTCTGATTTACGTAGGAGGCTTGGAAGAGAGTAATATTAGACCGAACAAAAATTTTCTAAAGCAGTTCTCAAAAGGTACATTCATGGGAGCTCTTAACAAAAGAGAATTGCTCACTTAATTATCAGTAATAAAAGACTGGTGTTAAAGAACCCCCACTGGAAATACTGCTTTCTGTGGGTCATGGCTTTGGAGTAAATACCATAAATAGGATTAGCACCCACTCTGTATAAGGAAGGACAGGAAAGCTATGTGGGACAGGGACGAAGATAAGACAAGCAGCCTCTACTCAAGGGGCCATTGCCCTCTTCAGAGGAAATAGAGAAATAAAAAATAACTAAAGAGAGATAGCCCCTGTGAAGTACTATGACTTTTAAAAGAAAAAAGTACAGTAATGTGCTGCTTGATTATGTTTCAGTCAATGACAGATGATATATGTGACAGTGGTCTCATAAGACTCCACAGGAGCTCAAAAAAATCCTATCATCTGGTGACCTTGTAGCTGTTACAGCATCATAACCCAACACATTCCTCATGTATTTGTGGTGATGTTGAGGTCAACAAACCTACTGCACTGCCATTTGTATAAAAGTATAGCACATACAATTATAATATCATAATACTTGACAGTAATGATAAATGACTACATTACTGCTTTATATATTTATTATATTGTACTTTTTAACATTTTAGAATATATTTCTACTTACGAAAAAAAGTTAACTATAGGGCCAGGCATGGTAGCACTTTGGAGAAACTGAAGTAAGAGGATTGCTTAAGGACAGGAGTTT